CCGACATTTTCAAGACGAGTCTGACACAGTCCGGCATGGAAATCCCATTTTCGTCATCGATACCACCAAAAGTAGATTGAATACGTAGTAGATGCACCAATGCATTGGCCAACCCAACGCGGACCGCTCGTCCTCCGACGGAGAAGGATCCTCCCGCACGTGGTGCCGACAGCTCCCCACCGGATTTGACAAAGTATTTGATCAAGAATAGAATGGCGGATCGGTGATTCTTGCACAGTGCTACGGCCGTTTCCTTTTTTCTGGCATTCCGTCCAGTATTGGCCGACCCTGATTGTGCCCCTGGTTGTGGATCGTCTTGATCGGCTTCGACATCTCTTTTTGCCATTGCGGATTCAGCCTTTCGCTGTCCCACTTCAATGGCTGTACAGAGACAGCGTGCCAGTGCTTCGGACCACACCTCGGCCACTTCGGCAGATTCATCGTCTATATTGCGTAGTGCAATGCCAATGACTTCGTCTAGATTGACGACGGCAGCACTGGGTGATTCCTGATCTCTGGAATTGGGTCTCATAATTTTGGGCGGTAGTACCAGCATGGGTGCCATGAGAGCTGCAAACGTGGCACAAGCTGACCTGACTTCAGGAAATTTGTCATTGGATGCCTGCTTTAGAACTTTGATGGCTTCCACCACTGCAGGTCCTTCCATTCCTCCTGGAAGGAGCAATGCCCTTTGAGAAGGTCCATCTACTGGTTTGAGTTTGAGTTGTGCCACTCGACAGGCTTTCGCCACGGTGCATCCCATTTTCATGGCGGAAATGCGAAAGGACGGTTCTCCATTTCCACTGGATCGCAGTGCCCGCAGACATAGCTGCAGTACATCGTGCGCCCATCCCGATATTTTGGAGGCCAATGTTTCATCTTCAAAGAGTCCTGCAATGGCATCGAGCGCCGCAATACGGGCTCCACCACCAGCTTTGGCACTTCGAGGATTCATGCCGGCCAAGGCAATCATGTTTTTGAGAAACGAAAATAGACTGGTGCGAGCACTGCCCGACAAGCCTTCTCCCAAGCGATGACACAGGACCACGCAATTGACCCACAATTTTCGAAGTGGATTGGAAATCATGGGCGGAACTTCTCCTCGTGAGGAAGCATCTGCGGAATTACTGTTTTTGGCGGCCAATTGTGTGGATGTACCGAGCAACTTCATGAGCACAGCCAACAGGGAGGGTGCTGCCACTAGAGGTTCTTGGGGTGGCGAAGCACGGAGCAAGGCTCTCAAGTAGTACAGTCGCACCAGCAGATCCGAAGAAGGAACCGAAACTGTTCCAAAGGAAGAATGCATTCCCTTGGGAGGTGCATTGACCGTAGTAGTCCCAGTGCCACACAGAGTAATGGCGGCTCCCAGCATGGCACCTGCTTCTTCCACCGACTCGGGACGCTCGTCGATCGTCATCTTGACAAACAAAACCAATCAATAGATATTAACTAAATGGGTGGAAATAAATAATAGATTGTCGACTTTTAAACACCTAGCTGGGCTGGAGGCTTCTCTCTAGTAGCCAAAAGCTACTAGTACGATACTGGTTAGTGCCGTCTCTTGATTGACTTTGGCATCGAAGAAGGATGGGTACTGGTAGCAATCGAGGTCAATGCCAGATCTCGACCCAGTCGCCATGGCGCAGATCCCTTTTTCTGTCCGAAACCCCTGCAAAGCTGTGATGCACATCGAGGTTGAAAATAGGGCCTCGAGAGGAAGCCAGCAAACAGTTTCCACGAACCCCAGCTTCCACGCAAACATTGGATGTCACCACGCCAGTTACACCAGATTTCAAACCAGGAGGGGCTGGAAATGCTCTCTTTGGCAACAAGAAATCAGGAGCTGACGCTGGACTCGTACGGTTGGCCACTTGCAATGTTGTGCGGTTTGGCCTGGCGGAATTGGCTTCGGAAAATGCGCAGTTGAGTCTATTACAAGACCTGATTGGTCTTTTGAAGCCTGCCGCTGTGACCGATCCATCCGAACTCAAATGCAATCCTCAGCAGCTGCAAGTTGTACTGGTGGAAATCTCGCATTTGCTCAGTGCCTTGGGAGAGGCTGCTGCCTCCAAGGTGGAAGATCTTGTCACCAACTTGAAAACATGCCTCTGTCATTCGTCGCATGGAGTAAGGCACGAAGCGGCTGTAGCTTGCGGGGCGCTCGCAGACAGCTTCCCGGCAACTGGAAGAGAATTTCTAGAATATGGAATGAAGGAACTTCGGTCACAGCACACAGAACTGATGGGTGTCGCAAATCGTAGTGAAAGCGTCGAAGTGAACGATCCCAAGCGATCGTTTGGTCGCATGTTCCGACGGGCCAAGAAAGAGACGGAAAAGAAGGTGGTCGATCCCACTCTCGTACACCAATACACAATACACGGCATTTCCCTTATGATGGCCATTGTTGCCCGAGACCTTCCGCAGACCTCTGGGGGAATATCGCGACAACTACTTTCAGACGTTCTGTCAGTGGCAGAGTTGCTGTCCGAATGGCAGTTCAATGATCTCGTAACCAAGGCGAACCCTGCAGTTGCCTGCACTTGCATCCGGGCCGGCTTTGGAATCATTACTGGTGTTTTGGCAACTGGACCAGTCGCCGTGCAACCGCACACAAAGAAGATTTTCGAAATATTCGACAAATCTTACAAAAGCTCGGCTAAGAATGGCAACAACTTCAGCACTGATCATGACCTGGGGTGTGTGGAAGTCGTTCTCACAGCCATCGTTGCCTTTTTGAGCTATGATTCCGAATTGCTTCTTTCAGTGCCTGAGGCGCTTTCGCAGGTATCAATCATGCTGGAAGAGCTGCTAGTGTTGTTTTCTTCCGGGGGCCGATTTGCCAAGGATTTTACGAACCCAGCAGCGATTACGCGGCTGAAAAGCGCGAAGGCCTCCCTAATGGAAGCTTTCGCATGGCTGCCTTCTGGTTCGTTCCCAATGGCAGCAGATGCCGTCTTCTCGTTTGCCGGAGAGCAAATCAAGAGAGCCATTGCCGGGGAAGTCACTTGTTCACTTCTCCCATCCTTAGTGTCCAAAGAGGATGTGCTGTTGGATGCAAAGTCTGTTTCTAGAGTCGACAGAGCAGGGCAGGTCGGAGGGGCTAAAGAAATCGAAGAGAGCATTGTCATTCTCACCTCAGAGACGGCTGATCACGGGGAAAGGGAGTCAGTTCTCCACTTTCCCGGATCCCATGTTGTTCAACCTTGGGAAAAGGAGTTTCGAAAGAGCCAGATCCTGGGCATGTTTGCTTACGATGCCACTCAGGCACCGCCAACACCTTTGCACGCCGCGGTCGGAACGTGGCGCAAACCGGTGGAGGTTTCTTGCTCTGCCACCGTTCGACTGCTAGATGCTGCTATCCAGGCTTACGCTGCAACTTTTGGTCTGAAAGGCGGTATGGAGCAACAGGAAGCAATGGATATGCTTGCTCTGGTAAGTGAAGAAGTTGTGTCTCGCCCATGACAACTGATCATGATGGAAGCATACTGCTGACGTATCATCGCTTCCTCCTAGCTTGTGCCTCCGTTCTTAACCCAATTGGCCAGTGTGATCGGGTTGAACACAACGCTTTCGGAGCCCGCGAGTCGAACAAAGGTTAGTTCGCTTTTTTGGAGTTGTATATCTGTAGCGGTGACCATCTAACTTTTGCATGCACTGGTTTTTGACTTGTCAGGCGAAAGAAGACAATGCAGCTGTTGCAAACATCACCGCTGTACTCCTTTCCTGCTTGAAAGCATTGCCGCTCCACGAGGCGACCCACAATGTGAGTTAGACTACTGTATAGCTGGGGCTTCGGACGTAAACAGCCACTTCTTACAAGTTCTGGCTTTACACGTGCACCCTTGGCAGGTTCCTATCGGCCTAGGGCCCCCTTGGATGAATAAAGCGAAGGATCTTCTGTTGACACTGCTCCCGTCGGCTTCAAATGTAGTGCGCCGAGCAGCTGCCGAAGGATTGGCGCTTCTTGCCACACTGGGAGTGAGCGAAGATGCACACTTCCTTCAATCCGCTGTGCTTCATTCGCTCGACGAAGTCATGCGAGGAAACCAGCCAGATGGAAAGCCAAGGACCTTGCCCTTGGAGCCCATCTCGGCGTCGCGGGCGGGTTCTCTTCTAACATTAGCCTGTATTCAACGAATGGCGCAGACAGTCAACGAGAAAAAACTCGTAAGGCAATTCCTACTGCTATTCCATCTTCCGGTACCCCACTTTGCTGTCTTGCTTTTCTCACTCCTGATCCTTCTTCTTCACGATTTCTAATCTAGGGTCGTAACAAAGGGCGTGCACTAAGCGCCGAGGAAATCATCTTGCAGGCAGAAGAGGCTCTTCCAACATTGCAAATGATGACTCGAATATTGCCCTCTGTAACCAGACAAGGTTTCCGAGATTTCTTCATTGTTCAAACCCACGCGCTTCACTCGTTCGGCTTACTCCTCGGATATTCTTCAAAGCTGGAAAGAGAGAAGGATAAACTGGAACCAGAGGACTTGCAATTATTGAGGAAAGGGGTAGAGCTAGTGGAGGATAACTTTCTGGCAACTTGGACTGTTGCATCGGTGGAATTCGATGCGGGTCAGGAGGTAAGGAGAATGTGAATTCGATCCGTTCCTGTTGAAGGCTTTGCTACGTCTCACTCCTTTCGGCACCGCGAATTAGGCCGAGAAACTGGCCGCAGAAGCGTCCTTTCTTGCCGTCTTGTTGCGCTTGATGGCTCTTCTCGTCCCCTCCCTCCACCATATTTCCGACAACCAGGGCGTTGCGACTCGGTTTTCAGCCATGGCCACAATAATCTTGGAAGCGATGGGTGCGCACCCTGTTGTGAGCATCGAGGGAATGGCTTTCTTTGAAGTGTTGGCCGGAATCCAAGACATGTTGCCGCCCCCTTCACAAAACCTACTGGACACTGACAACCCCCTCACTTCCTGCGTGCCTTACTTTGATTCCAGCCTGAAACCACGCTACGCAGGACTGTTTGCAGTTCCGAGATGGCAAGATATGGGTGGTTGCCTTTCTTCAACACGAGGCATTAGAGCTGTCTTGCGTGCAATCAAAGTCATGTCGCTTTCAGGGGTCTGGGAGGAGAACGATGTGCACTTCATGAAGGCCATCTTCGCTTTTCTGGAAGGGACCTGTGCGTCCAGATGTTATTCGAATGCCACATTGCACCGTCCTCTTGCGGCTCCGCGTGCCTCCGAGCTCGCGGCTGTCGAGAGCTTGGCGGTTGAAAAGGAAGCGGCGAATGTCTTGCAAGCTCTTGTTTCGGTAAGGCCGTCGTCTGGTCGTTTGCACACAATACTGTTTGCTCGGTCGCTGGTCGCCGGAGCGACTGCTGGCGGTGGAGAACGGGAACCAGAAGATGTTGACACGACCTCTGTCCAGGGAATAATCAGAAATGCTGACAACTCCGCGATCAGCGACGCACGCTATGTTCTGCAACATGTCGGCCAAATCCGTTGGCAACTGAAGAGCCTTTCAATTGTTCTTGCCACCGCTGCTCTCGCGGAGATGCGCCAAAGCTGTAGCACAAGCAATGCTGAATCTCCGGATTTCAGTTACAGTGCCGCCGAGAACGAGATCAAAAGGGCCCTGGCTGCATCTTCGAGCAATCCAAGTTCACGTCTTGCGTTCCATCTTAGCGGCATTGTTTCGCTTGCATGCACATCTGCTGTTGCTGCTGTGGATCAAGCGGAGCTTCCAACACTCCAACTCGCAGCAGTACTCCTCCTGTCGAACCTTGTTGCATGTTTTCGCGGAGTTCAGGACCCGCAGGAACCTGATGCGGCTATGCTGGATCAATTCACTACGCAGATCTTGTCTTCCGTAAAGCACTCTCTAGGCGACCCCGAAGATATCTCAGACGAGGCATCCTATCGATTGTTCTACGGAGGCTGCGAGGCAATCGAAACAATCGTAGAGAGCGAGTTGACGAAAGATCCGATGGCAATCAAACGTATCATTCGCCCCACAATTCCTCTAGGAAAGGACACTCCTTTCTTTGAATATGGGAAGTCATTCCCTGACGACGGCGAAGAATCTGAGAACTCGACCAATCTAGTAAAAATCGGTCGAGTTTGGACAGCTGGAATGCTCCTTTCCGAGAGATGCCAGAGCCAAACCAACATAAACGCAGCAAGGAAGCTTGTCGAAGACGAAGCAGGCCTCGCCGTTTACGCCGCAGCGGTCGCGTTCGATGGGGCGCGCCTCCTTCTTGACGCTGGAGCAACACTTTGCGGTTCCGTTTCAGGTCAGGGGAAAGTGAAGCAGCAGGTTGAAACTGGGTTTTTGTTTGGTAACGTGCACGACTTGGATGATTCGGTAAAGGCGGCGTTGGTGACTGCGTGGTCTTCTTGTGGCTGCTTCGCTCTTAGGACGCTCGCCAAGATGGCAGCAGAAGAAAGGGACGACGACAGGAAAGCAGCATGTAGAACATGGGTGCAGAAACTTGCTCCCCTGATGTTCGAAGGGCTCAACGACTCGCTGACCGAATTCGGAAACCATGATTTCTCCAAGACTTCAGGATGGTGTGGTGGCATTGACAGCTCGGATGTTGCTGTCAACTGCCTGTATAGTCTTCGTGTCTTTGTCGAAGGAACAGAACAGGGCAGCCTGGGGGTTTCAATCAACGTCGACCAAATCCTCAACCGCCTTCGGATATCGGTTTTGTCGCCAGCGTTGGATCAAACGTCGTCGGATCTGAAGGGTGGGTTTGCCCGGTTGCCCGAGGGCCGCCAGGCCACTGTCATCAAGGAAATGTGTGACATGATCCAGCACGTTGCCGCCTCCGCAGCCAAGGCTTCATCTTCCCTTCTCATGTCAATCCTGACTCCGTTGGATCTGCTGCAACGGGGGGCAATCGAGTTTGGACAAAGGCACGTTGATTTGATCGTGTCAACTTGTCTCTCGGCCGCAGGAACGTTGGTTGCGCTCTCCAAATCAAGTGACGCCTTTGTAAAGTCCATGACTCAAATTGCGCTCGAAGTGCAAGAATCGGAGAAAGGAGTGCCTGAAGGCGTGAACAGTGCTGCAAGACAGCTTCTGAAGGCCTGTCTCTCACACAAGTCTGTGGAAGCCAAGGATCGACGCGTAGTCGCCCACGAGCTTGCCAAAATGGGTGACTGGGAGACATGGTGTTCTGTCTGCGCAGTAGACGATGGTCTCACGGCATCTGGCAGTATGGACGTGTTGAAGAATGTGCTGCTTGATACACAAAACCCGGAGAAACAGCTTCAAGCCCTGGCAGCAATTCGGCTGCTGGTTCAGAAAACAAAGCTCGTTGGACTGATATTCAGTGCTGTGGGCGGGGAGTTGTTGCACTTTTTCAAGATGTATGGTGCTCAACCAGCGGTTTCCCGAGCGAGTCAAGCGCGCCGCACAACCGTTTGCACGGATACGATGAAAATTGTCTTGGTGGCAATTCAACAGCTTGTTTCCGATTCGACCCCAGAACCAGTGTTCGTGGCCTTTTTGATGGTAACGTTTGAATATATGCTGATGGTCCTGCGGTACAATGGTCTCCCAAACCACCCTCCGCCCCAAACCGAATCTGATCCATCCCTTGGTCGAATGACAGCGCAAGCGATTGTGCACATTGCCCGTTCTGCCCCTCTCCCTTTCAAAGCAGCCCTCGGGTCAATGAGCGACGCCGACCGAGCTGCTTTGGAGTTCGCCGTTCGAGCTGAAATGACGGGCTACGCCAATGCCCAAGCTCAAGCCCAATCCAAGAAGAAGATCAGTTTGAAGGGTTTCAAGAAGTGATGACTCGACTCAACTCGAAGTAGAATCTCTTTCATAGGAATACTAATAAGTTTTGCTCTAATGCAACGATACTCTACTATTATTCTTCTTGATGTATGTATCCATCATGAATATGTCGAAAGGAAATTCTTTCCTCTTTCTGATTGCACAATCACCTGATGAACTTCAGGAGGTATTGGGAGAGGCTGTTTCCCCGTGGTTTGCAACAGATAAGCGACGAGTAGTTCTCCCGTTGACGCTGTTTCCATATTGGCTGGAAGTGCCAGCTTGTCAATCTCCTTTTCCAGTTTGTCCGTGTACATGAGGACCCAATCTAGAACCCAGTCGAGCGCCACGCTGGAATGCCGCAGCAACGGTGTATCGATAATCTTTCGAATATTGACTTGCATTTGCGGCGTCATTTCTGGTAGGACCTCGTCCAGCTGTTCGTCGTTTTCGAAGATTGGCACGTCTTTTGCTTCCGGCACAATCTTTGCGTACTTGTCCAAGATGGCAGTTTGTATATTTGTCTTTCGGTGAATTGCATCCAACCCTGCTTTCATCAAGACCAAAACAGCTTGTTGGACTTCCTCCGCCGAATCGCACTGACTTGTGTCCAAACTGCTGTCCTCCAGTTCCTCTTTCTCTTTTGGTTCTTCTACCTTGTCATTGGTATTAGCATGTGCCACCAGTAAGGACGCTTGATCGTCTTTGATAGCCCGAATGGATTCTCGGGTGAACATTTTGGTTTCTTCCAGGTCTTGTTTGACAATAGCAATGGCCTCCGTGAGTGCCGCTTCAATGGATGCGTTGCCTTTGAGTTGCCAATAATCTCGAATGTTGTCGGATCGTTTTTCCAGAATGGCTTCCAACATTTGATAGTGCATGTTCAAGTCATCTTCTGCCAGGTAGATTGAAGTATCTATATTATCATGATCTTCGTCGGCATACGTTTCTGTTTCATTGTCCTCGTCTTGCTCGTCTTCTTCTTCCTCTTGTACCACTACGGCATCGGTATCTTGCTCGTCGTCGTCATCAGGCAGTAGCAATTCCAATTCTGGCAAGGGAGCCAACCTGCACAATTCCTCGTACAAATCGTCCTGTGATATGACTTGTTTGTCTGGGAATTCCTCTTGCCCCTCGGTGTTTAGCAACAGCTTCTGAATGATATCCCACTGTACTTCGGATCTGTGCTCCGCCAGTCCCTGAAACTCTCGCAGTGCTACCTTGAATGCCGCCGAAAGTCCATCGTCCGTTTCCATTTCGGAGAGGGATGCCTTTTTCAAGATTTTGATAAACCCCACAATCTTGAGGGATTTCCGGCCATCTGGTAAGAGTGTCGTATTATCTTTGTCTTTGTTGTCATCCCAATACTCCCAATTTCTCAAGGTAGATTGAAATTCTTTGAAAATCTTGTCGACTTGATCTGCCGTGTCATCGTCATTATAATTTTTGATTTCTTGTTGTGTGTCTTGCAGGAAATCCATCAGACTGTCTTCCGATGGCCCTCCTTTTATCGCTTTTGGCGGAGTGGGAAGTGGATCATTGTAATACTCGATCAGGACAAAGTCCTCCAGGACTGTAGTCTCCCATTTCCAGGCGACAAATAAATGAATGATAACAAGAACAAGGAAGGTGTAACATCCAAGTCCTTTTAGTGCTGCAGTCAGCACAAAGCTTCCCTCTTGCTGTTGTTGGGGCATAGTTATTAGTTGTTCTTCTCAATACTGGTAGCATAGATACCACACGAGGGCTGATGCTATCACCGTGGCTAATTTTGTTGGCGGTGGTTTGGGTATCTTTGGCGAAAATAGCAATATTAATGCCATTAATCTTAAGAAAGCTCGGCTAGCTAGCTAGACTATTAATTATTAATACTGAACTGTAGTAGGACTTGTACTGTACGGTACGGTACGTACGTACTGGTATGCATTCTACGTACTGTGCAGTTTGCTGGGTCTCCAGTCGAGCTGCTCAGTCGTGCTGACCCCAAGAACCCTCGCTCCAATGAAGACCGAGAGTCAATAAAAGAAGCAACACACAAAAACATCACAATCACGGCGGTGACCTAAGAAGAACACAAAGAAGACTACTCTAGCTCTCTAGTATCGCCATCTTACTGTATCATACTGTAGCATGACATCAGGAGACAGCATCCTCTTACAACATCAGATCATGCCAATAAAGCGGAGTGGTTGCAGTATCAAGAATGGTTCCAGGGAACCCACCAACGGTAGCAGGAATGCTTCTTCGAACATCATCATCATCACTCCTCCTCGCTCATATACTTTTCCTCCCTCCGAGCCCAGATTTCACAAATCAGAAGATGAAACTCTGGAGGGCCACCATGTCGTGGATTATCTCCAACAGGCTCTGTCATACCATGATGGGGGAGAACCTCAGGGAATCATCTCGTTATCCTGTGAAGAGACGGTCGATGACGTGACCATCGAGAAGATTGCCACGCTTCTGCAACGAAATCATCGCCATGTCAGACTACAAGCACTCTATCTCCCCAAGAATCACTTGACGTCGGCAGCGGCTGCACATATCGCCAGGATCACCGAAACCATGGCAGAAACACTCCTTCACTTGGACCTAAGACAAAACAACTTGGGGGTAGCCGGCTTGAAAACATTGATACAAACCCCACAGCCACTCGCCATTATCCAAACACTCAATCTGGAAGGCTGTGACCTACCGAAAGCGGCGGCTTCTGTATTGGCGGATTTGTTAAGGAGAAACAACAACCTGCAGGAACTCTACCTGGGATACAACAACAGGTTAAAACCACAGGGAATACAGAAAATCATTGCCGGACTGGCAGACAATCCTGACTCCAAATTAAACAAGTTGGATCTCAAGGGTACTTCCATGGGAGGAAAGGGACTCAAGGAGCTGTTGGAATACCTTAATGGAAATGACACCATGCACGCTCTGGATCTCTCCCGGAACAACATGAGAGCCGCCGTGGCAGAAGGATTTGCCTACTTGCTCAAGTTTCCAAATCATATTCTACACTTGGATTTGGGAAGCAATGATATAGGACCCGACGGAATCAATGCCCTGGCAAGAGCATTGAAGGAAAATGGAGCCCTGCAGGGATACTGCCGTATTCAACAACTCATCCTCAACTACAACCAGTTGGGAGATCAGGGGGCCATTTGTTTGGCCAACGCCATACAAAACAACTCCACGCTACAACATCTAGATCTATCCAAAAACAATATTGGACTCGACGGAGTCACACAATTGGCCAACAGCTTGGCCATTAACTATTCAATCCGAACAGTCAACCTCGATGGAAACAATATCGATGATCAAGGCGCACTGGCGTTGGCACACGTCTTGAGACGAAAAAACTGCCACATTGAGGAACTCACATGTCACGACAATCCACTCATTTCCGAAGACCATGGAGAATTCTATCTGCAACACGCTTTTAGATTCCGAGAAAGCTTAAAGACCCACTTGGGCGAGTTGCAGAAAGATATCGAGGCGGATCGACTCATGTCCGTTGATTGGTGGAGACGGCCACCCCATGTCCAAGTCACCGATTGGGAAGTGGATGTACTCGTACAATCCCTCACAAGACACAATCCGCAACTCCTACAAACCATTTACCTCACGGGTGCGCGAATCACGGATGAAAGTTTAAAGCATCTCTTTTCACGTTACATTGCAGAGAACCCTTCCTTGCAACGACTCTATCTCAAGAATGTCACTCTACGGGATGATATGAACGCCATCAAACAGGCATTATGTACCAACTCCACATTGCGGATTCTGAACGTGACAAGTTGCAATCTGTCGACAGTAGAATGCGCCGCAAACTTGGCCGTTGCCTTGAGACACAACAGGATGTTGCAGAGAATTTCCCTTCAGTGCAACAGCCTGGGTGACGAGGGATTCTGTCTTCTGTGGCAGGCCATCAACGGAGAGGAGCCACATCCATCCCTCGCCTCGCTCAACATGAGCAATAACGGATTGACGGATCGCTCGATGGAAGCCATTTGCAAGTCGGGGTCTCTTGGTCGGTTGGAGGCACTGTACGTGGAGAAGAACCAGATCACAGATCGCGGGGCCTTGGATTTGGCAAAAGCACTCATGGACAGCAAGGCGCTGAAGGTGCTTAGTGTGGCTCAAAACCAGGAAATCACATCCAGGGGACAGATTGCCTTGCGTGCCTTTGCGCCCATGAGGTTCTCCTGTTAGCTAGCTATATTCCTCTTTCATGAGTTGATACAATATTTTTGGTTCAGATACTTTCATAAATATGTTAGCGTGTCCTGCAACGCCCGTACTAGTAGTTTTAGCCGAGTAGGCTGACCCACTGGGTCCGGATGCTCAATCATGGTTTGGTGAGGCAACCAACGAAGTTTTGCGCTGCTGTCAAAGTTACGAATTGGATCCAGTTCTATGGTAGGCGTAAAAGCACGACCGAAGCCTCTGGCTAGCTATCCATGCAACACCATTGGCAGCCACAGGGGTCTTCTGTCGTGGGCTGTTTTGCCATGGCTTTCTACACCACAAGTAGACTACATGGAGCTATTAGTTTTGCATCGTGCCAGGTACTGTACTAGTAGTTGGTTGGTTAACTACTACTCCGTAGTAGCTACCGGTAGCTAGTACATGTAGTAGACTCGAATCTACTGGCAAAAACAGCTAGAGCCCCCAAAATTGGCCGCTAAACGCGGTTATTAGCCAGTTAAGAATCGACCTAAAATTGTGACTGCTAAACAAACAGCTTGGTGCAACTCCCATGTGCTGCTGTTCGGTCATCGTTCCCAGAATAGACACCCATCCATTTCATCGGTGCATAAATCCTCGACACACCGTCAACAGAACAACGCCCATCATATATTATCTCACAAAAGACGGAGGTCAAGGGTCGCATCCACTGGTGTTGTTGTCCTGAACGCCATCAGTGACAAATACATGCTACGAGATTGATATTGAGGATACCCTTCTAGATAGCTAGAGTGTTATTGTCGTTTCCGGTGTCGAAAGAAGACAGTTGTTTGCAAATGATGTTCCGGGCAGTGGCGTCACGATGGATGACAGCAATAGTCATGGTATACCCTCTGTTACTGCTGCATGGATCCAACTGTGAGGTATTAAAGGCATCCAATTCGCATAGAAGTGTTATCCGTGGGGTTAGAATACATCAAAATCAAGACCAAGACCTAATAGCACCACGGCAATTATTGGAGCAACAAGGTGGACGCCATGAGTTCACCGTCTATCAATTCGAGGTGTCAGGGTCTCAGGTTATGAGAGCAGGGCCATCGGATGCGCCATCAGAGATACCCTCCATCTCTCCTTCGTCTCCTCCGTCAATAGCCCCAACATCAGCAACGCCTAGAACAAGCCCGTTTCTGAAGGGAGAAGCATTAGAAGCTGAGGACATGAGCTCGTCTCCCAGTTCTGGTCCCACAAAGCAACTTGTCTTTACTGATTCAGGATACTATCCCCTGCCAGAAGAAACCCTTCAGATTGAAAACAGAGAACCAGGAGACTCGCAAACACAGCCAGGCAGTGGTGCTGACACTGAGATAGAGAATGAATATTGGCAACAGAATCCGGGATCCCCGCCAGATCAATCTACTAATGAACAAGAAGAGGAATCCGATCACTTCGTTCCCGTAGAAGGAAATGAAGTCACTTCCCAGGCTGCCATCAAACCAACTTACTACTATGTGGATCTGAGGCCTTTCTCAGTCTTTGTGGATGCCAGTCGAGACTTGACCACCGATTTAGGCATTCCTCTCTATTTGCTGATTGAAATGCAAACAACGCTGCAGAATATCGTGGATGTCAAGATATCCAACTTGACCATTCAAATGGGGT